TTTTCTACACATTACCAAGTTTAATTTATTTTAATCTGTATATCTTATAATTCTTTTATTCAAATTTATATCTTTATGTTTTGCTAATCTAATATATTGGTTTTTAAGGTGAAATGTACTGTATTTAAAATCTCCTAGTATAATTGGTGTTCTGTTTGCATCTCCTCAGAGCTCTGCCGGTCACTGTTGTATACGTTGTGAGCCTGTTTTGTTGGAGAATTCAACAGCACCACTAATTACCTTCTTAATCTGTGACTGCTCATCAGGAATGCTTGTCATTCCTTGTCCTCTCTATCTTGCCTGATGTTATGCTCTCTTTTCACACAAATTTTGCTTTAATACCCTTTTCCATATTTTTAAATCTTTGAGTTTGTTTCCTTTTATCCTACCAATTTTATGTGATTTTCTTGCTGTCTTCTAGATTATACCTTTTTTAGATTATAGATTTTATCATTCCATTTTCCTACTCATTAACTTGTAAATTATACATTATTTTCTTTTTTCTTCTAGTGGTTACTATAGAGTTTGTCATGTATATCTCGGACCTTTTATGATCTAATTATAAATTAGTCAAGTAACCATTTCCAGACAATGCAAGGACCTTGAGCACATTGACACTCTCACTGGGTGCCATGGTGTCCTGCATAATTAGATCACCATGTTTTATACCACAGGCAAGTACAGAGAGAAGAAGATATCTGTAAAACATATAACCGATAAAGGGCTCATGTCTAGAATCTATGAGGATCCCCAATATCTAGTTAAACAAAGACAAGCAACTGAACAGGCAAAAAAAAAAAAACAGAGCAAGAGTCTTTTCACAAAGGATATTCACATAGCTAACATGCTTGCTAAAGTTGGGACTATGTAGTATAATTAAGGAAACATTTGTCATTATCTACTAGATTTGAACATTTGCATAGTCTTTAGCCAAATAGTATCACTCCAAAATATATATCTAACAGGAATAAATATATTCACCAAAAGGCACAGCCTAGTATGTTCAAAGCTTCATTATTATTGCCAAGAATTGGAAAACAACCTAAATATTTCTCAAAAATAGAATAATATTGTTATCTGTTCATACAAAGAAAATGGTCAAACTGCTCCTTGATTAATACGATGGCTGACTCTCACAAACACAGTGTTTAGTGCAAGAAACCAGACCCAGAAGAATCATTACGCAATTCCATTTACGTAATGGGAGGAGGAAGAGAGCTGTTGGTGACTGAAGAGTTTATCCAGAATCCCATCTTGCTCAGAATTAGGCACTATTCTATCTTGTAAGGCAGGGAATATACAAATCAGAGGTTCAAGATCTTATATTTGTGGCATCTGTTGAGATCTGAGTAACGTAGCAGTGCGAAGTTTTGAGTAGCATTGCTACAAAACAGCAAATTATCCTCCGCAAGAATCTGGCACCGCCTCGAAAGTGCTTTCCAAAATAGCAGTACCAAACCTTGCCAGCAGATGGCGACACTTGTACGCATCTATGCTGAATAACAAGAATTTCAGTGTAGCAAGCTGTTCTACAACGTTACTTTTGAATTTAGCAGAGTTGTTACAAACTTTGCTACTTTTCATCCAGATTCTTCATCCTGACATCTTCACTGGAACATACATATTTACATTTCATGCCTTTCGTTCAATGAGTTTGCATTATTTCCTCATTAAAATGAAAAATGTTTCCTCATTGAAATATCCAAACTGATCTACTTTAGAAAGAAAGGAGATTTTGGTTTTTGTATGTTTTTGCAGTTACATTTTGAACCACCGTTGTGGTTTTCCTCATTCCAGGTCTTAGTAGTGAAAGGCCAGGATAATTTCTCAGGCATCTCATAGGGTTTGAGTTCCTTTTAAAAGGCTACCTTTTAATGTATCCTCTTCCTCATCTTCCTCTCCTTTTATGGTGCCTGCGAGTCCTGCCGGTGCCTTTCTCCCTGGACTGACATATAAGTGCTGCAGGGTGACTCATGCTCTGTGCCTTCCATCGTTGCTTCAGGCCTGAAAGTTTCTTTCCTCTCTCTCTCTTCTCCTCTAGCCCAGCACTGCTTCATTCAGTAGTGATTCATTAACTTTGTAGGGTGAATCCAAATCATGTATACCTGGGTTATATTTCAGCTCTATGCCTTTAAGTCAACTAAAGAAAGTCATCAGCAAAAATGAGTAAACTTTCCCTCAGTGTTCAGAGCTATGTTCTATTCTGATCTGTTCTAATCTGTATTCTGTTCAGATTTCCAGAGAGAGAGATAGTGGTGTTTATATATACAGGCATACACCATTGTGTGTACTTGTACATGCGTGTGCATACACACACACACACACACACACACACCCTTTTAAATTAACCTTTCTGTGTGGCTTTATGATGATCTAGTGAGATTATTACTGCAGAACTTGTGATTTG